TTTTTTTTTCCCCGAGACAGGGTTTCTCTGTGTTTTTGGAGCCTGTCCTGGAACTAGCTCTTGTAGACCAGGCTGGTCTCGAACTCACAGAGATCTGCCTGCCTCTGCCTCCCGAGTGCTGGGATTAAAGGCATGCGCCACCACCGCCCGGCTCATGGCAACTCTTATAAAGAAAACATTTAGTTGGGGTAGCTCGCTGACAGTTTCAGAGGTTCAATCCATTATCATCATGGCAGGAAGCATGGTGTCATGCAAGTGGACATGGTGCTGGAGAAAAAGCAGAGAGTCTTACATCTTGTGGGCAACAGGAAGTAAACAGAGCGAAACTTGAGAAAAAGACCTCAAATCCTGCCCTCAGAATGGCATACTTCTTCCCAAAGGCCACACCCACTCCAACATGCCACACCTTCTGATAGTGCCACTCTCTCTGGGGGCCCTTGTCTTTCATACCACAATGTGGATAGTACTCGTGAAAACATTTGTTTTCTGTTCCTGGAGCTCCTCTACTGTCCTATGAAGGACATGTTTGTCAGCGTGCATCCTTCATTCCAGAGTCCTTGCCTGACAAAGCCTCTAAGGGTCTCAGTGTTTCCATGCATACACTGCAGTGACAGGTATATTCACGTAGAGGACTTGTGCACAATGTGCCTGACACACGACAGGAATTCTGTGAAGTTTTTCCTTATGGCTGCTTTCTACTTTGGCACAAAACTGTCCCTCATCTACAGACTATAAAAGTGAAATAACGGTGCCAGTCATGGACAGGCTACATGGACCCTATTCAGCTCACTGCATAGCTCATTACAGACATCTATAACTATTGCAACGCACATGATTCTACGTGAAATACTTTCAAGATCTGATTGGGTGGATGAGGAGATAGTTAGCATTCTGTTTCATCACTGGTAGGCCTGCAGCTAAATTAACTCTAATGTTTGCAATGAAGGCTTACAGAAGGCTGGATTAAGGAGACAATGGTCAAAAGGATAACTTCACGTTGTTAAAGTCGTCCTTTAACCGCAAGCCCTCTGACTCTCTAGTTTTGATAGCTGTCTTGCCACTAAATTCGTAGGAATTCTGTAGGTTATAGAGAAAATAGTTAATACTGCCTTTTATCTGATTTTGATATTGAGGATTCATGATTCCTACCGTCGAATGGCATCTCCATATGAATGACAACATTCCTTGCCTTATTAGATTTATTTTTTATTTTATGTGTATGAGTATTTGCTGCTACCATCGCCACCAGGCTTCAGTTTCTTTCTTTTTTTTTTTGTTTTTTTTTTTTTCTTTCTTAAGCTTAGGTGCAAGTTTGTATTTTCTGAAATCTCTTTTAGAGTCTTCATGTTAGGCATTGCTCCCTGTTGTGCATTGTGTGGCTGTGAAGAAAGGCTGTTGTCTGTATTGGCATTGATGAATATGCTAAGGAGGAGGCAGAGGTAGCACATGCCATTCATCCCAGCACTTGGGAGACAGAGACAGGTGGATCTCTGTGAGTTCAAGGCTAGCCTGGTCTACAGAGTGAGTTCCAGGACAGCCAAGGAAACACAGAGAAAAACTGTCTCATAAAACAAAAATAAAAGAGTAAAGAAACTGATAATAAAAAAGGTACGATCCTTTAAAGTGGCAGATGGTAACCTGACAATTAGTATATAATGAACATAAAATTTTAAGGGAACCGGTGGGACTCTCTTGTTATTTCAGCAATCCAGAGGAAAAAGCGATTGCATCCAGAGTTGGGTGCCAGCTTGGACTACCCAGTAAGTTCCAGAGTAAGATTCTATGTCAAAAGAAGATAGAGATGGAGAAGAATGGAGATTTCTATGGCTGCACACAGTAACGATGGATTTATGAAAACACTGTGGTTTGATGACACTGGCTCCCATAGGCTCGTATATTTGAATACTCGGTCTTGGAAGTGTGTCACTGGGGATAAGATTCGTAATTTAGGTATCAAAAGACTCCTGCACTTTCCAGTGTGTAAGCGGCTTTGGGAAAACAAGTACAGCCTCCAGCTGCACATACAAACATCAATGGAAAAAAACCTTTCTTTCTACTCTGCAAGCCATGGAATCTCCTAAGGGGGAGGGGGTTGTTTCACGGGTATGGAAACCCAGTAAAGTGTTACCAGGCATGGAGGCTCACATCTGTAATCCCAGCACTTAGGCGACTCAGGCAAGAGAATTAGGAAGGAATTCAGTCATCTTTGGCTACAGAGATGTCGAGGAGAGATAATTTCTAAAATTAATAGGTTAACAATTTAAAAAGTAATGAACTTCCCCTGTGAAGTCGCTGGCAGTCTGTAAGGGCTACAAAGAGGCAGCGCTGGGGCCCGACTCAGCTCCTGGTTGGGAGGTGCTGGAGGGCAGCTGCTCCGGTGGCGCTCGCCTCCAGGTCCCTCCTAAGTCCGGGATGCACACTTCCGCTGCCTCACCTGTTGCGCCCGGCCCTCCCCAGCCTCTCCGCGTTGCACCCGGCCCTCCTCCCCTCCCTGAGCCTCTCAGCGCCTGCAGAGCTGGGCGGAGGGACCGTGGGATCTCACGCCCGACCGAGTCTCCAGAGTGCGCGCTTCGACCACGATCCGCCAAGCGCACAGGAGGAAAACCCGGAAAACCCCTTTGCACCTTCAGCGCAGTCTGATTGCAAGCCCTTTTGTGCGCGCTCCCGCCAGGGTCCCGGCTCCCGGGCGCGCGAATGCCCCTCCCCCTTCCCCGCCCCCTCCCTGCGCCCCTCCCGGCCCGGCCCGCGCCGCGCTTTGCAAGTTGCAAAGCTTCTTCAGCAGCGGCCGGCGGCGACGGCGGTGGCCGTGGCCCGGACGCCTGGAGGCTCCCTGGTGGTGCTGGGCCAGCCCGTGCTGCCCGGAGTGCGTGGGTGTGGATCTCAGTGGCTGCGCTTTTTCCAAGTTGCTTACCTCGTTCTGCGGCGGCCGGGACGCCTGGAGGCTCCCTGGTGCTGCCCGGAGTGCACCGGCGTGGGGCCTTCGCCCTGCGCTTTCCAAGTTGCAAAGCTCGTTCTGCAGCGGCCTGGACGCCTGGAGCCTCCCTGGTGCTGTCCGGAGTGCATGGCCGCGGACTTCAGAGGCTGTAGGGACGGAGTGAATGGCCGCGGACCTCAGAGGCTGCAGGGGCTGAGCGTCCCGCACCATGGAGGGCGCCGAGCCCCGCGCGCGGCAGGAGCGCCCAGGCGAAGCCCACGGTGCCCGCCTAGTGGAGGTACGGCTGAGCGGAGGCGCCCCTTGGGGCTTCACCCTGAAGGGCGGTCGCGAGCACGGTGAGCCTCTGATCATCACTAAGGTAAGGCGACCTCGGGGTCTGCGCGGTGACTGTCCCGAAGGGGTCCCCAATGCAGAAGTCTCGTCCGGGTCTTGGGGCGCTGCTGATGGGGCGTCCGGTGCGCAGCCTCCCTTGATGGGGGCGCATATGCAGGGGTCACCTGTGCATGGAGTCTGGTTCCGGGTCTCAGGGCACTGCGGGGGGGGCCCATCTGCACGGGTCTCCTGTGCCTGGAGATTGGGGTCTGGGCAGCCAGAGCTGTGTGGTTCCGGCTCCAGCCTGGCGGCCCTCGGTCTACTCCCAACGTGGCTGGGAGTTGCAATGGCTCCCGTTCCGCCCCCCCACGAGGAAGGGCCTGGTCGTCCCCTGTAACTCCTGGCCTGGCCAGACCTACACCTGCGAGGCTGCCAGGAGAGGAAGGAAAATAAACAGTTCCAGGATCCAGGGACTGGGCATACATAGCCTTTGCGCTTGTTTGCTTTTTAGGGCCCCTGGTTGCTTACTTTTTTGCTTTTTACCTTTTGGTCTGCACGGGTTTTTTAGTCTGAAACCTGTTTTTAGGGCCCCTGGTTGGTTGTTTTTTTTTTTTTTGCTTTTTACCTTTTGGTCTGCACCGGTTTTTAGTCTGAAACCGATACTAGAAACTCCTGCCAGTCAGCTTCACGATTCCCAGGAGCTCATCCGTGTTTGCTGACTTTCCGCCTCCTCTCCTACATGCACTCGCTCTCGATGCTCAGCACCTTGATTGGGACTTCTCAGCGTGCTTATAAAATAGAATTTGAGTTCTGATCATAAGGAAAGAGACCTTAGTCTCACTTGCATGCATGTGTGTGTGTTTAGGTTGCGTTAGAACTGGAATGCTCTTAAAACGCAGTCCATCTTGGTACTTACCAACTAAACGTGTATAAACCTGTATCAACAGACAACACGCCAATCTCTCAGGTCTTCTGGTTAAAGGAAACGAGAGCCTGTTCTGGGCAGAGCTGAGTCTCACTAAGGGCAAAATCTCCTTGAGAAAGTCATCATTTCTGTTTCCTAGAGGTGTTGGGTGGTATGAAGGTGACTGACAATTTTCATGCATAATAGTGCCTCACCTGGCATATATTTATTTTCTGCCCCCTCCAAGTATTCCCAGCATCTGGCCTTCAACTGTCTGTGTAGCTCAGAGATGACCTTGAACTTCTGACTCTCCTGCCTCCATTGTCCCGTTTTTCCTACCGTGTCTGCCGTGAACGTCTTTAAAACAACAACAAAAAGATTCCACACATCTTCTTCACCCTTGTTTGAGAAGCAGATGGAATGAACAATACATCAATTAATATGAAGTTTTAGGATTTTTAAGTGTGTTTGTTTTCTTTTACATTTATGTGTGTTTTTCCTGAATGTACTTGTGTCTTCTGTAAGAGCAGCAAGTACTCCTAACCACTGAGCTAACTCTCTGGCCCCTAGCGTTGGGTCTTTTACCATATAAGTAAGTTGGAGATTACTTTAAATGGGATGATTTGCTAGGGAGATTTTCATCCTCCTTTGCACAAGATAGTTCTAGTTTTACAAACTCTGCATGCTTGATGGCCTCCCGGCTCTCTGCTTTTTATAAATGGAAGTATATGTTAATCAAACTCAGCCTCACTAAGCTGTACTACCCCTGCATAATTTTTGTAAGTGACTCAGTATAACTGAAAAATGATAGTTTTGTTTGCTTAGTATGGGTGGGACTCAAAACAACTTGTGGTTTTTGTATTTTCATGCATATATACACATTCAATTGCTGTTGCTCCTGTGTTTGTGTACACACATGTATTTTCACATGTTCTGTTGTTTCTACATATATTAACATATATTCTATAATATATACATATATAAATATATATATATATACATATATATTAACAGTATTTCAAATACCTGCCAATGCTTTAAGATTAAGGACACACACACAGGCTGTGAAAATAAGAACGACAGCCAAGTGGTGGTGGCACACTCCTTTAATCCCAGCTCTTGGGAGGCAGAGGCAGGCTCTGTGAGTTTGAGGCCAGTCTGGTCTACAAGAGTGAGTTCTCCAGGACAGCCAAGGCTACACACAAAGAAACCCTGTCTTGGAAAGAAAAAAAAAGAACAAAAGTTTATCATTGGTGCTGACTTAGAACATGACGCTGATAATTAATTGCCACGTTATTTAAAAATGACGGAGGGTTGACTGGAGAGCTGGCTCAGTGGTTTAAAACACTGGTTGCTTTTCCAGAGGATGCAGGTTCAATTTCTATCAACCTGCACGGTGGCTCACAACTTCTGCAAATCTGGTCCTAGGAGGTCTGTCACCTTCTTCTGGCCTCCTCGGGCATTGTCCGCACGCGGTATGCAGACATACATTCAAACATTTCTATGTGTGAAATAAAAATAAATAAAATCTAAAAAAATGATGAAGGAAATGTCTATTTACAGCCACTTACAAGGTAGAAATCAACTGCTCTGATAGATACCAGGGGAAATTGTTCTTCAACTGGAGTTCACTTTCAACTTTTCCTCTTCCAGTAGTTATTGTAATGCCATTGAAGCTTATTAAATACTTTTTCTAATAGTTCTTTTTCCATTTAAAAAACATCTATGCAATTTTTACATGTTGGGTTCTTGGTAGACCACAAGGATTTTCTGTTTAACTTTCTATTAATTATAATTATTTTCCGTTTAATTTTCTATTAATTATAATTATTCTACTATTTTTATATTTATATACTATTAATTATAATTATAATTTTGTTAATTGATGCTTTTATGTTTAGCTGATTCTGATTTGGGAGTAGCTTGACCCGATTTAAGAGGACACATTCTTTTGTTAATGATGTGACTATCGTTTGAAGATCTCATATGAGCATGTATCTCAGAACTGGTAAAATGGTGTACTCTGAGGTCACAGATCTGGCGAATCCTAGGCAGGGTCTTGAAAGTCAGACTCTGATGGTGAATATCAGTCTTGCTTCCTGTCCAGTAGGCGCTATCTGCTTTTGACTGAACTCTCCTGCTATGTTATTTATGTTGAGTAACTCAACACCATCTGCAGGCTGACAGTTTTTCCATCTTGGTACCAAGGATATTCTGCTGTGGGGTCTATTCTGTGTACTGTCATCCATTTAGCTGCTTCCTTGGCTTCTACCCACTGATGGAAGGCCATTGGCACCTGGCTCCAGGTATGGCAATCTGAATGTCCCCAGACATTGACAAATGCCCCCAGCCTAGTTATATATAAATCACTTTGTTAGACTAATGGTGCGTTGCCTTTGCTTTGAAGGACTTTGGGATTTTATTCTTTTGGAAAACAGTGGCCTTTAGGGTGGTGTGTTTGGAGGCCCTTGGCATTTCCAGTGTTTTCATGTGGGTCTGTTTTTCTTTCTGAGATGAACTCTTGGCTCCGAGAAAAGGCTTTATTTACACAGTAAAATGCAAACAAGTCCCTGCTTCATCTGCATTTTTGTAGTTGGAGAAAGGAAATTGAGAGCAGAGACTTCCCAGTACTGTGCTTTATGGACAATCAGAGTAGACGCTGAAGAAGGTCTCCTATTCTCTGGAATTGGTTTGAAGTTAAAGGACATTAACTTCCCAGAGGAGTCACATTCATAGAAGCAGAAGCATGCCTGAAACTCTACAAGACTTCTGCCGAAAGACGATATTATTAGGAATCATAACTGCTGAGAATCTTTATAATAATTTGCAGCTTGAAATCTCGCTACCATTAACAAACAAGCAGATGCACACATACACACACATAAAACTGGGAAGCACAAAAACACGCTAAAGCCCATTTTCTCATGCCGATGTTGCAGAAAGAACAGGAACAACCTGCAAGTTATAAGAGGTCTCATGATTTTGGTGATATTCTTTAAGAGTATAGGTGGATTTAGGAAATCCCAGGGACCTGAAATATTACACTTTAGCTGAGTTGGATTTGCAGGTAGGTTGAGCCATTGTGGCCTTCTGTTTTTTTTTTTTTTTTTTTTTTTTTTTTTTTTTTTTTTTTTTTTTTTTTTTTTTTTTGTTTGGTTGGTTTGTTTTCTTCATCCCCTCCCCCACCTTTGTACTACATTCATTATGGAAACAGGGCTTGGCAAGTGCTCTACCACTGAGCAACATCTGCAGCCAGTCTTGCTGGTGTTCCTTGAGAATTTTGGTGGAGGTGGAGACTGAGCTCCTTTCTGTGACATCACTTACTGGAGAGTCCCATCCACCCGCTGGGTATCAGGAGGCCCCCTGCAACCTCAGGAATGTTTATCAAGGGAGAGGGTATGAAGTCCTGGCTTTGGCTATTCATAATTTATTAAATCTCATCCCCCATGACAGAAACTGCTAACAGAGGCCCTAAGCATCCTATATGATAATACCTTAGTGATTGAAAAAGGAGTCTCTAGTTTAGAGGCTGCGGAGTTAAGGTCTTGGTGGCCTGGGATCATAAATGTTGGAACAGTAGCCCAGTTGTTTTCCCTTGTACCCTTTTGCTTATTTGTTTGTTTTTTTAAAAGGTTTATTTTATTTGAATGAGTGTTTTGCCTGCACGGAAGTGTACCGTGTGAGTCCAATATCCACAGAGGCCAGGAGATTGGTTGGATTGGGAATGGCAGAGGGTTGTGAGCTGCTGTGTGAGTGTTGGGAACTGAACCTGAGCCCTCTTCAAAAGCAAGCAGTGCTCCTAACCACTGCGGTATCTTCCCAACCTTTGTTTGTTTAGGAGATTCAGTCTCCTCCGCAGTCTAGGTGTGCTTCAGACTTGGTCCGGAGGGAAAGACGACCTTGACATTTTGTCCGCCCTGCCTCACCTAGGATTTATTGGTCTCTGCCAACACAGGGGTACAGTGCTTGGGATTTTGTGAGAAAGGTGCTTTACCGTATGAGATCCATTCCTATCTCCTTTGTTTACTTTTGAAACAAAGTCTGGCCAAGCTGGCCTGGAAATCTGTAATAGGGCTTGAGTCTCCTGAGTGCTGAGATTGTAGGTGCACTACTATGCCTGGCTTAAAATTTGTGTGTTTGTG